TTTTGGTACTACTATACGTACTTTCATACTTTCCCCTTCTTTGCCTCCTTGAATGTTTTTTACTCACATATACTCAAATCACATCCCCTTTTTTTTCCTCATCAATTCTTGAAAACCCTTTCCGTCATAAATCCACCCGCCGACACGTCAACTCCCAAGTATCTAAAAAATTCATTTTTCCCATACCCCTCCCCCCCAATTTGATATCCAATTTTTTTTACTAAATATTTATACTTTCATCACCTTACTCTTTTCTAGTTCACTTTCAACTTTTACCTTTAACACTTTCCCAAACTTTGCAATTTTTTTTTTGAATTCCCATAAGCACAGTTCATCAGCAAAAAGTAACGTGTCTTTCCCATTTTGAATTTGATTCCCCAAAATTTACCCCCCCCTCCCCCAAACACCCTGCATTTATTCCCTTTAAACCCCATCTTAAATATATTAAAAAACCCCATGGGACTTACACACCCCGTCTAAGCCCTACTTTTAGGGGAAAGTGTCCCCCTCTCTTCTAACCCCCTAACCTGGCCTCATTCCCTCAAAAAAACTCTTTACAGCATTTAAAAACTTCCACCTTTTCCCCATTCAGGGGGGCCCCGTTTTACGGGTTTCACTTTACGGGTTCGCAAATCGGACATTTCAAATTATGACCAAAACTCCTATAGGCTCCCCCCCCTGACTTTCTAATACGGTCACCGTGCCCCCCCCCTGTTTGTTTACATTCCCCATGAGTCAGTAAGCACTAAGTTCCCATTTTGTCGGAAACTCCAAAATTTAAAAAGTTTTTAAAAGTTTTTTATATTTTTATATCTCTGTAATTATACTTTTGTATCCTGTACCAAAATAAATTACTCTTGCGGGTGCGGTACACATTAAAATTGGTAAGTGTCTTATGTCCCCGAGTTATTGAAATGATAAAAATAATATGAGTATTTAAATGTCGTATATTACTTTAATAACTTTTTCATTAATCCATCCATGATATTTTTTTCAAAATTATAAAATTAAACACGATGCATAAATTAAATAAGTAAATACCCCCACGTAGAAAAATAAACATAAATGTGAGATGGGGGTAGCAGCACTTGCACAAGTGACGCCATATTAGAAATGATAAAAATAATAAAAATACTCCGAGTTCATTAAATGTTTTTATATTAGTTAATATACACATTTTCTTTAAACCTCCATGTATTTTTTTTCAAAATTATATAATAAACACGATAATAACATAAAAAAGATGATAAATACTCCACAATAAAAATAAATAAACAAAAATACAGGGCCCCCCCGGTTAACAAATTTTTTTTCTTTCCAGTAGTATGTTCGGTCCCAGTACTGCCCGTTTTTTTTTCCCAAAAGGAATTTTGTGAAGTAGTTAGTATTTCAGCCCCCCAAACATACACGTACAAATGCACTTACATAATTGGTGCATTTGGAGGGATCGTTAAGGGGGGTCCACGTTAAGATGTGGGACCCACTAACTTGTGAAATGAGGGCAAAAGATAACTTTTCTCTTTTAACTAAGAGAAAATGTGTTACTGGGGGTAACTGTATTATTTTTTTTTAAATCAAGGGAAGGCTAAACCCGGAGGTTTTTTATAAGCGCCTGGGGGGGGATGGGAAAGTCATTCGGCTTAATTCGGGGAAGGAGCACAGACCCAAATTTCCCCTAAATCAAACCCCCTCCCAACATAAAGGAACCCTTCCCTTGGGGGGGGGGGGGGGAAAAACTGTGGGAAATTTTTCCCTTTCGATGTATGTAAGAAAGTTTTTTTCGGTATACACAAATACATTTTAATGATTATCAAATAAAACTAGGTAGAGAAAACTAGGATAACCCAAAAAAAGTCAGTGTGACTTTTTTCCTTCCCCTTCACTCAGAGTTTTCATTTCTTCTCAAAATGATGTTACATGAAAAATGGGAGTGTTCTTCTTTATTAATTCCCCGTTTCAATGTAGAGAAAAACTTACCAATGTAATTGTACAAAACCGAGTGTACACTTCTTTTGTTTACAAAACTTACGTTCCCCCGGGTTTGTTTACATAACTCTGCGCCTGTCCCCTCTCTGTACTATTTTTCTCTTCTCATTTATTCGTTTTATTCTTTTACTTACCCCTGACCCTACTTTAAAGACTACAAATTTTTAGGTAAGTAATGAGTGAACTGTTATACATTTTAGCTTGGGATGTTTTTAAATATCTAGAATAGTTGTGTGGGTGGGGTGGCCGGTATGGTAGCCTGGTGACACCATAATACCACATTTGATTTTTACAAAAATCTACTGTCTCACCCTAGATTAAGCATAAATTTTAAAAGGTAAGTAATGAGTGACTATGTGTGTTTGTACTTTTTATTGTTTTTTGATGCCTGGTTCTATTGCTAACTTAATATATGTTGTGAAAAATTGTTATTAGTGTTTGTATGCTTTTATAAGTGGAAAAAAAGGGTGTTCCACTTTACGGGGGTTTTCCCGCTTTACGGCGGTAGCCTGGAACCTAACCGCCGTATAAGTGGGGCCTCCTGTACTTGCAACATCTGCCCATTGCTCCTCTATCCACCTATCATATCCCTTTTTCTAAATCCATAAATGCAATAAAAATTCCCTACCCTTTTTCTAAATATGTTCAAATTGCTTCAAAGTAAACACTTGATCAAAACACCCCTACCCCCTCTGAAAAAACCCCCCTTGCTCATCGCAATCCTACATTTGTCTTACCCCTAAATTTTTCAATTATAACCCTACTGTACACTTTTCCTGGTATACCCGTAAACTTATTCCCCTAATTTTTCAGTCCCCTTTTTCCCCTTTTCCCTTTTTTTAAAGGGACTATACTGCTCTCTGCCCCAATCCCTAGGGACCCTTTCCCCCTTTCATACATTTATTAAACAAAAATACCCAACCCCTCCAAACGATATCCCCCCCCGCTTTTAACATTTCTGTCTGATCCCATCAGTTCTAGTGTTTACCCCCCTTTTTTCTACGTAATGCCCCCGTACCTCCCCCCCCCTTAATTTCTTTCTTTACTCCCAAAAGATGGTATCCTCCTGACCGTGAGAAAATTACTGCCCCTCTTTCTTTCCCTTTAAAATTTAAAAGTTTCAAAATATTCTGCCCTTACCCAATACCTCCCTTCCCCCTCTATAAATCCCCCATCTGTTTTTAATGACCCAAAACCATATTTCCCCAGGCTTTTTAATTGTTTAAAATCACTCCAAAATTTTTTTTTATTTTCATTAAAATTTCTTTGACTGGCCCCTCCCACTCTTCATCTGCTTCTTTTGCACCTCTCACCCCTCTTTTACCTTTCTTTTTTCCATTACTTGCTCTTTATAACACTTTTCTTTTTAAAAACCTCTCATAAGCTATTTTTTTCTCTTTTATCACACCCCTTTAAATTATATTTCCCCCAATCACTCCTCTTTCCTCCTGCCTCCACCCCCCTATAACACAAACTTCTTTCCCCCCACATTTAATACTGCATTTTTAAAACTATTCCCAACCTCTTAACCCCCCCCCTACTCTCTTTGCATAGCCCCCCTTTTGCAATAGTCGTTGTTCTACCTGAACTTCTTCCCCCCTTAGTTTATACCTTTCACCCCCCTCTTACTTGTTTTTTGCCACCTTCCTCTTTTCCCATCTACCTCTTATCTTTAAATGTAGCTCAACTAAATAATGATCCCATAATCAGTTGCCCTCTATAAACTGATCCTGGAGCCTACCCACAAACCCTTTTTTCCACCCAAAACATACTAATAACTCTTTATTCGTGCTAATATACCCGTATATTTATTTCCTCTTTTCATTTTAAAAAATGTTTTATTATTCCAAAAACCCTTTTAACCCTAGCTCAATTAAAAGGCCCCCCCATTTTCTTTACCCCCGGCACCCCCAAATTTACCTACTCTCCCTCCCTAAAATTTTTTCCCACTTTTTGATTGAAATCCGAACCACCATTATCTCAACTTGATTCAAAAAATCCACCAAAAAATTTTTTTCTCCTCTACACTTCTCTCTTCTCCAGGGCATACATGCTTTTTATAACCCCCTTTTACACCAACTTTTTTTTTACTCCACTTTTTTTCCCTTTAAAATACATTTATGCCCTCTTTTCCTTGCCATAGCTTTCCTTTAAAATTAAGCTACTCCTTCCCTTTGCTCTAACTCTATTTGAAAAACCCCGACCTAATCCCATTTTTTCCCCTTTCCCTTGAAAAATCTCCCACCCCCCTTTAGCTTTGTTTCACTTAAAGCCAGGACATCCAGCTTCTTCTCATTATAACATCCACAATCATCTCTTTCTTTTCATTTGCACAACATCCACGCCATTCAGACTTCCCCCTTTACAATTTTCTTCTTCTTAGTTTTTCATGTTTTAAACCATAAGGGTCATACAGGGGCATTTTAAAATTTCCACTCAATATTTTGTGACAAATCAATCGGTATCAAAATATTTCTAGAAAGATGATTAGTTTTTGGAAAAAAATGTTTTCTAAAGTTTTGTATTTTTTAAAGAGCAATTTTTTTTTACTCGCTGGAAAATGGTGACCGAGTTGTCACCTTATCACTTTCATGTGGGGGAGGGGCAGTGAAACTCTGGGGTCATACAATATCTAGGGAAAATGAAGATTAGGGTTCACTCAAAAGGGGTTGGAGCATTGTCCCATGTTGATTATGCATTCATTGTCCCAAATTGTCTTTCCCCTTTTCTGTGAACAAAAAGAGTATGAGAGCTTTGTTAAAGAAATTATTTTAAAGTGCGAATATTTTCAATGATTGTTGTGAAGGTTTATATAAAAAAACTTTTACAAATACCAACATTTTATGCAGTAACTTATAAAAATCACAATTTTTAAATCTTCTTATTCAAGTTGAATTTATATATGATGAATGTCAAGTTCAAAAGATGAAGCCAAAATTTTTATTAAGCGCCTACTACTGGGCTAGCTCTTCACGAATGTGTTAATGGGTATAGGGGGTCATATCAAGGGCCTGGTCTCTATAATAAATTTCACCATTTCAGCCCTTACACATCGGAGCTTGACGGAAGGTGCCAGTTCTGTAAAAAGAAAATATAAAAAAAACCAAGTGCCAAATCCACTGGGTCAGAAAAAAATAAAAAAAAATACAGAATAAAAGGACAACAAAAAAAGGGTTAGGCAATTTTATTTTATTTTAAGGAAAGCACTAACCTGTGGGCAAGGGTCATAATACAATGTTGGGGAATAGAAAAAATCAGGTTTGATTCAAATGGGAAGCTGCAGTGTCTTGGATCAAGAGTCCTTCCCCTTCCCTACTTAATGGAGGCAATGTATAATACTGTATAGGCAAATTTTGGGTGCTTAATTGAACTGTGAAAGGAGAGAGTTTATTTAGTACATGAACAAGAGTTTCTAATATTAGATTAATTGTAACTAGATAGTCCTTTCAAGGAGGTACCCTCCCCTTTATCAGACCTGATTATCGATTCCTCAGGTGCTGTACGTGTCTTTTATAGGTTTACCACTGTAAACTGACTACCTAAGAGCAAGATTGGTCAGATTATTATTATAATAAAAACTAAGCACTAAAGCCACAAGGGTCATACAGCACTGCATTTTGGTCAGAGAATACTAACACACTGGGCAAGATGCTAAATGACTGTAGAGTTCTTGGCCTCCATGTGTTCGTGTGACTGCTGGGTAGCAAGGATAGGTGACAAGGATGGGAGACTACGCTTTAATATCTTTGCATCAACCATACACGTCTCATTCATGGGTATCTTGTGGAGAGGCACCCAGTTCCACTGTGCAAATTGTCAGGTTCCAATTTCGGTTTGCCATGTTCTATTGGACTGTCCTGTCTATTAGCGAGCATGCAGAATTTACCTCCGTTGTCATTACTGCTCTAATACCCTTACTTTATCTTCCCTCCTAGCTGATGGCCCCACCTCTGACACAGACTCTCTGACTTTTTTTTTACAGCAACAGATTTATTACACAACCTTTGATTACACTTCCTTTTAGCACTCCTCACTGCCCTTCCTGACTACCTTTGTTATACTCTTCACCCTCGCTGATCTCTGATCCGGCATATTACACCTTTAAGCACACCCTACCTTGCAGTGCTGTATGACTCCAGTAGGTTTAGCACTTCTTTTTGATACACAAATAACCTGCACATAAAAGAGAGAAGCTTACGACGACGTTTCGGTCCGACTTGGACCATTGACAAATGGTCCAAGTCGGACCGAAACGTCGTCGTAAGCTTCTCTCTTTTATGTGCGGGTTATTTGTGTATCCTTCCAGTCACGGTATTGTGCCTTTTTTTGTTACTTCTTTTTGATTATAATACCTCCTTTCCCCTAAGAAAAATTCTGATCCACCAGAGTATGTTTTATTATTTCTTCCTGCACTTCAAGTTTATGTGTGCATGCATGCATGTGTATTAGTGAATTAAAGTGGAGTCAAGTGGTTTTTTAAGAGTTGAAGTGCTGTTCAAATATGAGCTCGGTAACATTTATGAAAGGATTTATGTATAAAGGTTAGCCATATTTGAGTCGTGGAAGTGGAAAGTACAGTGCCGACACTCTGAATGATGAGTGGGAATGTTACAGCTCAAAGCATCATCTGAATGGTACTATCCTACACTTCGGGCAAGTTAGCTACTGAATAAACAATGCTGGATGTGTTTCCATCTTCAGGTTGAATCACCTCAATGAGAGGCAGTTGATGTCTACCTGGAGGATATTCCGGGGATCAATGCCCCCTCAGCCCAGTCTACGACCAGGCCTCCTGGTGGATCAGGGACTGATCAATCAAGCTGTTACTGCTGGCTGCACATAGTCCAACGTACAAACTGCTGCTCGGTACAGACTTTAAGTACCTGTCCAGCTCCGCCTTGAAGGCAGTCAGGGGTCTCTTGGTAATTCCCCTTATGCATGGTGGGAGGTTATTGAACAGTCTTGGACCCTGGACACTTATGGAGTTTTCTCTTAGTGTACCAGCTGTATGACCCTTGTAGGTTTAGCACTTCTTTTTGATTATAATAAGTGTACCAATCGCACCCCTACTTTTCACTTGAGGTATTTTGCACTGCCTGCCCAGTCTTTTCTTTCGTAGGGAGTGATTTCTGTGTGTAGATCTGGGACCATCATTTCTAGGATTTTCCAAGTGTAGATTATATATACCTCTCACCTACATTCCAGTGAGTACAAGTCAAGTGCTTCCAAGTGTTCCCAGTAGTTAAGAGTTTGATGGAACTTATGTACAGTAAAGGTTCTCTGTACATTCTATAGATCTACAATATCACCTGCTTTGAACAGAGATGTTAGTGTACAGCAATATTCCAGCCTAGAGAGAACAAGTGACTTGAAAAGGATAATCATTAGCTTAGCATCTCTTGTTTTGAATATTCTCATTATCCATTCTATCATTTTCTTTGCAGCTGTGATCGTGGCACTGTTGTGATCCTTGAAAGCGAGATCCTCAGACATTACCACTCCCAGGTCCCTCACATTATTTTTTTGCTGAACTGCATGATTAGAATTTGTAGTAAACTCAATTCTAGTTATTATCTCCTCCGTTTTCCATAATGGAGTAGTTGGAATTTGTCTTCATTTGATCACTGTATTGTTTTCCGCTGCCCACTGGAAAACTTGATTTATATCTTCTTGGAGGTTAACTGTGTCCTCAATAGATTACAGTCTCATGCAGATCCTAGTATCATCTGCAAAGGATGACACAGTGCTGTGGATTACATCTCTGTCTATGTCTGATATGAGGATGAGGAACAGGAAAGTACTGTGCCTTGTGGCACAGAGCTTTTCACTATGGCAGCTTCCAATTTAACTCTGTTTACCACTACTATGTGTTTGATTGATTACAAAGTTGAAGATCCATCTCTCCACTGCCAGTTATTCCTTTAGCATGCACTTTATGTGCTATTACACCATGATCACATTTGTTAAAGGCTCTTGCAAAGTCTGTATACATTACATCTGCATTCTGTTTTTCTTGCAGTGCATCGGAGACCATAGTGATCCAAAAGTTGCAAGAGGCTGGAGCAACCAGCCCTGAACCCATGTTTCCCTGGATTGTGCAGATTTTGGGAATCCAAGTGGTTTGCAATCGTGCTTTTTAGCACTCAAAGATTTTTATGATGTGGGATGTTAGAGCTATTGATCTACAGTTCTTAGTTAATGTTCTGCTGCCACCTTTATGGAGTGGGGCTATATCCATGTCTGAGCTCCTCCTTAGTATACGTACTTAGGGTTTGCTTAAGGGGTTTCATGCAGTTTTTAATGAACGAAGAGTTCCATGAGTCTGGGCCTGGGGCTGAGTGCATGAGCATGTCAATGGCTTTCTCAAAGTCTAATGGAGTTAGGATAATGTCAGAAATTTGGCATACACTGATGGAGTTTTGAGGCTCATTCATGAAAAAACATTTTGACTGATTAGTGGCTCACTCAACAGAGTTGTATTGGGATTTCAGTATCTTGGTTATTTCTTTGTTGTCATCTGTGTAAGTCCCATCTCGTCTGAGCAGGGGCCCGATACTAGATGTAGTATTTGCCTTGTTTTTTGCATATGAAAACAAATATTTTCAATTTTGCTAATTTCTTTTAGGTCCTCCTGGATCCTGTATGAATCCTTTAACTTAAGTTCAATACTTTCCACTTCCCTAGTCATTGCTTCCTTCCATGTATCAGATAATCTAGTGTTCTTGAGGAGCTCAGTGATTCTTCATAGTCTTCTGTAGAGGGAGCATATTTCTCTCTCTAGTTTACTTCGTCTCTTCTTCTTTCTTAGGGGAATATGCCTTGAATGTACTTTTTTCCATTTAAGTAGGCCCCAGAACCATTAACAGATTTCAATAACTTACTATGGAAAACTGATTCCTACATTTCCTTGTTTGGAGGTACTGCACATGAAAAAAGTACTGCAAAAACTACAAAACTCAAATAATTGGCTATTTTAGCTTCACCCTGATAAGTGCACTATAAGAATGGAAGGAAAAAAAAATTGAGACCAGCTGTACTGCATCATAAGAGTAGGAAGTAACTACTATTCTCAGAAATGGATAAAAGCTTAGAGATGGACAAAACAATAAGCCTAGGTGCTTTCCAAACCCTCTAAGGATGGTCCTATTAGTTAATACTATACATACCACCTGCATGAGACTAACTGATCCAAGGAAATGCACACACCTAATTCCTTGAACTCTATTGCCTTCCACTTCCCCTCAGGTACTGTATGACGTTACAGGTTTGCTACTCCCAAATAAATATAATAATAATTATGCATCACTACCAGTGAATACATACCATGTCAAACAAAATAAAGGCAAGACTGTTTAAGAGCTTTGCTTCCAGATTAGTGTCTAAAGACTAAGCAAATGAGGGGTGGAGGCTATGAAACAGACCATAGGAAATAAAAACATATATACCATTTATTTCCAGACCACAGGAAATGAAAGAAAATTTAGCAAAATAATAATAAACTAAAAAATTGCTATTCATTCATAGAAGTAACTGCTCGATGCAAAGCTACAGACTACCTTGGTCTCGCATGCTTCACCTTGGCATATTTTGTTTTTCCCCTACAAGAGTCTGATAATTTTTTATAACTCGCTGCATTCTTAGGTGATTACCTGTTTGTAGCTGCAGGAGTAAACATGGCTCATCTGGTTAAATAATTTTTCAAGTTTAAATTCTAATGACCTCTTAGGCTTGGTTTTCTCTGTTTACAATCAGGGACTAGTGTTTTCCTTGTTAATGGTGCTAAAATTACACTATAATTTATCTGTATTCTTGTATCCTTTCATGATTTTGTGTGTGATTACTATTTAAAATTACAGGACTAAAACTAATGACTGTGGTTTAGTGTATCATATTTTTGAGTGTAGCACTTACTACACAGCCTCTCCTCACTTAACGACAGAGTTCCGTTCCTAATACCGTGTCGGTAAACAAATTCATTGCTAATCGAGGAGCAAACTATAATGGTAGAGGGTTTATGTCAACCATCTTTGATGCTGCTTTAATGTCACCCTTGCACCATTTACGGGTTGGCCATCACTTATTCGGCAATCAGTTATCCGGTTCCATCAGTAATCCGGCACCAATTTTGGCTAGCATACTTTCAAATTTCTCCATGGGGAAGTGTAACAGAATTCTTCCTCCGTAAGCCATGCATGTTGTAAGAGGCGACTAAAATGCCGGGAGCAAGGGCCTTGTAACCCCTTCTCCTGTATAAATTACTAAATTTAAAAAGAGGAACTTTCGTTTTTCTTTTTGGGCCACCCTGCCTTGGTGGGATATGGCCGGGTTAAAAAAAAAAAAAATCAAATTTCATTATACTGACTCAAATTTCATCATTATACTGACTCAGAAATTGTGCATAGTTGTAAATCCACAGCAGCAAGCCAGTGGAGGAGAAAGCAGTTATGAAAATGAGGAAGATGTGACAAAAAGAGTCTCTACTGATAGGTTTATTAAGTGTATTCTAATGTATCCACTCTGTAATCCAGCAAACTCACTAATCTGGCACACTACAGGTCCCAATGATGCCGGATTAGTGATGGCTGACCTGTATAACATTTTTAGTATATTTTTAAATGTTTATACAGTGGTGTACTGTATACTGTAATAAAGAGAACAGAGGAAATCAACTCTTATATACATTATTTAGGTATGCATACTGGTTAGAGAGCCTGTTGAATTCCGAGTTGTCGGCAAAGAGTACGTCGCTAAGTGAGGAGAGGCTATACTGTGTGTAAGAGATGCAGAGGAAAAACGTCAGTTTCATATCCTGTATAGTAAAAAAAACTTACGTAGATAATATTACCTTTTATCAACTTGAAAAGACAATTTCTCTTTTCCATCAATACTAATCAAGCATCCACTCGTGAATTCTTCCATTATTAGTGAGTGACCAGCAAACAAGGCAACACTAAGAGGATGCAACATTGATAGGTCACGTGCCACTGTTCTCTTTGATACATCATCTCTGCTTAAATGAGCACACAGGAGATATCGTGAAAAATCAGCAGCATCCTTTGGAATTGGATGAAGTACACATTCACTCCCTGTGTCTACCCGAGCACCTTCCCTGAAAATACATGGTATACCACTAATTAGAGATGAATTCAATGTATAAAAGGGTTATGCTTAACAAAAGTGGTAAAGAGAAAGCTCAAGTTGGTTAAGAACAAACAAATAATTAAAAAAAAGTCTAAGAACCAGGACATGGTGAAAAGGATAAACATTAAGAAGCGAATAAGCAAGAAACCTACATGAAGTAGTGATATTTATTTCAATTCTTACTTATAACATGCAATGGAAGGCTGTGTTCACTAATTTTACAACAAACAAATCTCAAGCTCAAAATTTCTGAAAGAATTAAGGAATGACAAAATAGTGTACTCAGTCTTGATGATGAGTGAGTCAGAGTTCAGGATGCCCTTTGAGAAGACGCCTTGTTGTATATGCAGCATACGACTAATTCCCGCTAATAGTACACCCAGTACTAGTTGTCTGTTGTGGGAATTGACATTCCATGAAGAATACTGGGATGAAATATCTTCATCATCTACTAAGAGCCCGTCATATAAATGGTTACTGTACACGCGTTTTAAACCTGTGAAAGAAAGAACAACTGCACTAAGTGATCACTTTAAAAATAAAAAATATATTTTGAATTATATATTGTACATCATGTGACTATTGCGGTCAGAATCCTCCATGTTGCCCAAATTTACATTTATAAAACAAAGTATAAGACCTTTTTTTGCATATTGACATTCTTATTCCTTATTATGGTTCCATTTTTCCTGTTTAATTAGTCTTTGTAAAGTTTCTGATAAATAATTATTTTCAATGTAGGTACTCACCAAAATGCAGAAAAATTACCAGATATTCTCTAAATATATTCCAAGACATTTTGCTTGGATAAATCATTATCAGCAGGTTTCTGTTTACTGTAATTATTATTCTGTGTTACTGTTTACTATTACTATATTCTAATTGAAATGGGTGTCTTCTGCCAAGGCAGGGTGACCCAAAGAAAATTCACTATCATTCATTCAACTGGCATCTTTCCAGAAGTGTGCTGATATCACAAACAGATTAGCCTCCAACTGTAAATTCCCACCCTTTAGTTTTAATCTTGGTAAAAATTAATTCCAAATTCTGATTAACTATTATTTTAAATTAGAAATTACGTATAATAAATTATGAAAGAGAAATTTACCTTAACTGAATTTGGATATTAACCTTATTAATATAAAGATGGAAAATGTAGTCATTACTTATTCCCTAGCTGTTTTTTCAGAAGTGCATGAACAATTTAAATGGTTCACTGAACTGCAACATCACCCTCACCCCCATCTTTCAAAGTTCAGATACTAATCTCAACCTCTAGAACTCAACATATACATCATGGCCCAGCTTTATGGTGTTTCGCTTTACAGCATTCTGCTAATATGGACATTTCAAATCATGACCAAAACTCGCTGTACAGCTCCCTCTGTCTTTCCAATCTGGTCACTGCACCCCACCTGGTTTGTTTACATTCTCTGTGAGCACCCTGTCTCTCCATTATGTTTGGAAACTTTCCAAAATTTTAAGTGTTTTAAAGTTATTTCATATTTTGTATATACTCTGATAATTTTTTTTTATATAGGGACCCCTGGTGCAAATTGTAGGACCCATAACCTTGGAGAAGTGGATAAAAAGGCTTCAAGGAAGAATATTGGATTTCTTCCTGAAGCCATTTGAATATTCCACTTCCCCTATCACCCCATCTTTTCATTCTTTTTTACCAATAGGTATATTTTATTACATAATATGGTACAAAAGATTTAAGAGATACATTGTTAATATAAAGATGGTATATGCAGTACACGAGATACATGTCTAGTACATACTGTTGTGCGTTTGTCACTGATTATCATGCGAAAATTTCATCCAGCTCCTCAAAGCTGGGGCGCATGCCCAAGATACAACATGCATTACCCCTCTGAGCAGCAGTGCTGAGTCACTGGAACAGAAAACCAGCTGCCCTGGGATCCCTAGTTACCCTCGTGAGTCTTTTTGCCTAGTTCCTTAAGGAACTTAGATGCACTCTTTTCCCATGAGCCAAGGGTCTCCAAGCCTTTGGGAACAAACATATAATGATGGGAAAGTTCTCCATATTTTCTAGACTTTTGGGACTCCCTGAAGCTGGCAGCTGCTGCTCCTCCTTCCCTGGTGTATTGTAGATAGGTATCAGCCAAGTTAGATGCACATGTGTAGTCCCACACCACCTGCTTACTGTCTGTCCAGGCTTGAAGGGTGATACCATCTGGACACTTTTGACTGCCATCAGATCTTCACAGTTGGGGTGGGTCTCTTATTGCTGGGCATCCAGCTGTTGTGAGACTTCTCTTGATAATGTTATTAACCTCTTTATGTCTTGCAATCTTTCCCTTGGATTTACAGCACCCAAGATCATGGTACCCAAATCTGTCTGCTGCTTCACTGCCACAAATACACCTGTGTTCGGCGAGAATAGGGGCGGCAAGTCAAAGGGCAATACCAATGCAGATGGTCTGTGGGTTGAGGCGTGTGCCAAGGCTGGAGTTGGGAACAGCCAACAGAGTCCCCTGCATGAGGAGCTCTCACTGCCAGGAGGCAGGCTCTATCTTTCCTCAACACACTCTGAAGCACTGTTGAGGCTATATTCTCCACTATTGGGCAATCTCAGTGTGACTAGTTGTTGGAGGGTGCAGGTCTAGTTTCAGAGCCCATTAGATTATCCCAGATCATGGCTCCATCAGCAAACTTTTGGTCATGGATTCCAGTCTTGTCCCTGAGATGTTCAAGGAGAATCGCAGCTACAAGTCCACTGGCTGAAACACATGTGGACAGGAAAGCAGGTAGTGCAATCTGTGATGACTTGCAGACACCAATGCCTTCTAGTCTGACTGGAAGTGTAGCTTGGTCCCACTGCCCATCTTCTAGAGTAAGGTTGAGTACTTTCGTAAAAATCTGCCTCAGGATACTGTCATATTCATGCAGTACAGGGATATCATATGAAGGTGCATATTTTAGGAAATATGTTAACCTGGGAAGACTCAAGCACTTTGTGAGAAGGTACAAGTCATCATGGGTGTCAAGATTGCCTATTCATTGTTCCATTCTCCTCAACTCTTCCGGATTCTTCTGAGAACTGTGTCAATGGCATCGTTTCCCATAGGTGCTCCAAGCAAGACGCTATTTGTGGGGGCAATGACTGATGCTCCTGGTAGTTATGATCTCACTTGTTGATTGACTGAGATGATTTCACACTTGGATGGATTCAGGATGAGACTCATTTCCTGTCCCCGTGTCATCACCTGTGTAAGCTCATCTAGAAGGGATTCCTTTGTACCTGCTAGTGTGCTGTCATTAAGGAACCAGATGTTTAGCTCACTGGTCAGTCTGACTGTGATTTCCCTAACCGCTATACGGAAGAGAAATGGTGCAAGAGGATTCCCTGCTGGACACCCTCTGATGATGTGATTTCATGCTCTCCAAACAGGAGCATTGATTCCTTGCTGTATCCAGCTGAAACAAAAGGAAAGAGACCAGGGATACGTTTTTGTACAGCTGCTAATAAAACATCTCTTTTCAGGAGATTAAATGCATTCTTGAAATCTAATTTTACCACTGCATTGTCTGTTGATATATGCCCTTGTTGCATGAACCACTGCTTCACTTCCTTGAGAGACTCTAAAGCCAAGCTGGTTTGGTTGAAGCATCATGGCTGCCTCTGCATGTATACTTCGGACAGCAGCTTTGGAAACGAGGCGGCGAAAAGTGTTGCCCACTGCAAATGGCCTAATTCCTCCATCCTTCTTGTTTAAGGCACAAAGTGATGCACAAAAAAAGAAAGGTTTAATTTCGTCAGAAATCAGACCAGCCAAGGAATTGTTGACGAACCTTGTGAGCTCTGAAAGCAGTGTCTCTGCAATCTCCCTGATAACTGGATTAACCATTTCCTTTAAATGCTGTGGCCTTATTCCAGTGTAGCCCCCAGTAGAGCTGGATGGGAACAACATTACTGCTTTGTAAATGTCTGAGTCTTGCACAATCAATGGTTCCACAGTGAGGACAGCAGTGTTGGAACTGTTGGTGCCCATGGTTTCCCTGACTGGGTACTTTCCTCTAAGTGCTTCAGCAGTGTCAGCATCCCTGGGGGCAACTGTATCTTCGCTGGTGATAATCCTGATTGCCCCCACTGTGTTGCCCTCTTCAATTTTCTTGCTCACCTGGACTCTGATTTTCTCTCTGTCAGTAATAATTTTACTTATGTGTACCTGTACATGAGTAAACTTGGTATAAACCTTGGTAATAAATACCGACAAGTTGGTTTAGAAAGACACGTAAGCAAACACTATAACATATTTATTAGAAAACGTTTCGGTCCTGGGACCTTGATCACTTCTAACATACAGAGGTAGAAAGACATTATATATAGGCGGAGAGTGAGATGTGACGCACGTGACCTGAGGAATGTTATAAGAACATAAGAATGGAGGAACACTGTAGAAGGCCTACTGGCCCATGCGAGACAGGTCCTTATCAAAACAACTTCTACTTATGATGAGGACGGGTAGACGATGAAATCATGTGACTCCTGTGTTGTTGGGTTGGTGCTGCTTAAGTATCATGTATGCCAATGTTTTTGAAATTTTGTAGTTTCCAGTGTTGCGTTCTATAGTGTCGGCGACGGTGATTAGTGAGGCTTCCAGGCACCGTCGGCATCTGAGGTCTGGTTCGGTGAGAACGAGTTGCGCCCCGCTCCAGCCCATCAAATGCCCCGTGGAGTCTCTGTGGAGGACAAAGGCGTACCCCCACATCGCCTCCGCTAGAGGCACCTCGACGCTCATTCAGGCGGACTGCAGGATCTCTGCCCATCTCGCCTACACACCTCTTGGGACAGAACCCACAGGGGACAGTGTAGACGCCCGCTGCAGAAGTCAGAGGTGCGGGTCCGCGTTTCGCAGTGAGGTCCCCGATAGATGATGTGCTCATGGTGGAAACGCCGATGCCACTCACAGCAAGCGCCCGGCGAGCATTCGCGGCAACATCGCCACATGGGAGCACCATGAACTGCTTTGGGGGCCGCTCCATGGGCGGTTTGTTGAGGACAGCCTGTGCCTTGAGTCTGCAATCTCGGATGAAGAAAGATGGGAACTGAAGACGTGCAAAGGCTTGCGCTATGCAAGTGCAGACTCAAGGCACAGGCTGTCCTCAACAAACCGCCCATGGAGCGGCCCCCAAAGCAGTTCATGGTGCTCCCATGTGGCGATGTTGCCGCGAATGCTTGCCGGGCGCTTGCTGTGAGTGGCATCGGCATTTCCACCATGAGCACATCATCTATCGGGGACCTCACTGCGAAACGCGGCCCCGCACCTCTGACTTCTGCAGCGGGCGTCTACACTGTCCCCTGTGGGTTCTGTCCCAAGAGGTGTGTAGGCGAGACGGGCAGAGATCTTGCAGTCTGCCTGAATGAGCGTCGAGGTGCCTCTAGCGGAAGCGATGTGGGGTACACCTGTGTCCTCCACAGAGACTCCACGGGGCATTTGATGGGCTGGAGCGGGGCGCAACTCGTTC